GACCAGCCCAAGTTGAGTCCCTGCAGAAGTCTAAATACAACATCACGCTCACGGACAATGCAACCCAGTGATGTACACCTGAATTCATGAAACTGAAGTCAGTAGCATTCCAGAAGATTAAAGAATATGTCACCTTCATCGAAACACAGCATGGGTTCATGCCGAAGATACTACATGTCGACAACACAAAGGAACTCACTAGTGGGGAGGTCAAACAATGGCTGAAGAAGAAAGGGATCTGACTACTCACACCAGCACCATACGCACACTCATCTAATGGCATAGCTGAACACTTCAATCGCACACTCATTGAGCTTGCACGTGCTATGATGATTGCCAAAGGCATACCTTCGTTCCTGTGGGAAACAGCCATAGAGTATGCAGCATATATCAGAAATCATGCACCAACAAGGGCCCTTGATGGTAAAACACCGGAGGAAGCATGGATGGGAAAGAAACCTGATGTTTCCCACCTCCGGGAGTTTGGATGTGATGTCTGGATCAAAAGGGAAGGACAGAGCCTGTCAAAACTCGGCAGAAACTCGAGCAAGGCAAGGAAATATACCTTCATGGGATTCACTGAGGACCCAATTGTCATCAAATACTATGATCCTGAATTGCAAAAGATCTGTGAATCCTGGAATTATGAGTTTGCTGAGCCCAAGGCCATAGAACAGAGCACAGACAATGTGCGGCTTGAGGGGGAGGCAGTGAAGATGGACAATCCGCCATTGCCAAAGGGAGCTGAAGAAGAAAGTCAGCAAACCACACCACCACAGCTTGAAACTGAAAAGACTCCTGATCCAGCACCAGAAACACTACGATGCACCTCACATATCACTGGTAATCATGACTACCATAAGCTCAATAACACCAATGCTCGAAAGGCAGCACCACCACAAACTCCATCAGTCCCATCCAAGCACCCTCCAGAATCAGCCAATGTTGCCGTGATCCAAAGTTATCTCACTGGTGATGGCGAGCACATTAATCGTGATGACTTCCCACAAAGCCTTGCAGAGACACAAGCATCAGCAGAATGGCCTGAATGGAAAAAGGCCATGGAAGAGGAAATGTCAATGATTGGAGAGATGGGAACTTACAAGCTCAAGGATCTACCAGAGGGATGTGAGACCATAGGCTGCAGATGAACCTATGTGAAGAAATATGATGAGCATGGTAACGTGTCATGCTATAAAGCCCATCTCGCAGCACAAGGCTACTCGCAGATGCCCAGAGTCGATTTTACTGAAACATTTGCACCAGTTGTTCGTCTCGAATCTGTTCATGCTGCACTAGGTATAGCCACCATCAACAACCTCGAAATTGGTCAGATGGACATCAAAGGGGCTTACCTCAATGGAGAACTCGAGGAAGAAATATACATGTGCCAGCCTCCAGGCTACAATGATGGATCTGGACATGTCTGCAGATTGTACAAGACCCTGTATGGACTAAAACAGTCAGGACGCGAGTGGAACCGTGAATTTGATAGGAAACTCACCTCCATCAGATTCTCAAAGCTCGAAGTCGACCACTGCATCTATAAACGTGTCCGAGACAGCAGGACAGTGTTCCTGACTGCATGGGTTGATGACTTGTTAATCTTTGCTGAAACACCCAAGGATCTAGACAGAATAAAAAGGGAGTTAGCAGGGCTGTTCAACATCAAGGACATAGGAAAGCCAAAGAAGATCATTGGGATTGAAATAGAGAGGGACCATGATAATGGCTCAATCTCATTATCCCAGCAACAATACATCGATGGAATACTCACATGCTTTGGTCTCCACAATGCATCACCTGTCACAACTCCACTCAACCCAAACATTATCCTACACAAGCAACGTATCCACAAAGGAGCCAACCCCAATGTCTGCAGTGGCTACCAATCTGCAATTGGTTCATTGATGTATGCTGCGATTTGTACATGCTCTGACATCGCATATGCTGTGCAGTTGTTGAGCCAGTTCTCAAACAACCCAGGACCTGAACACTGGGCAGCTGTGAAGTGAGTGTTTAGGTATCTATCCAGAACAAAGAACTTAAAACTCACCTTCCGAGTAAATGAAGAACACAAAGTTCTCAGTGCCGGCTACACAGACGCAGACTATGCATCCAATCCCGATGACCAGTGATCCACTTCTGGCTATGCATACCTCCTAGGCAGTGCAGCGTTCTCTTTGTCATCCAAGAAGCAGTCGACTGTGGCTTTATCATCCACAGAAGCAGAATACACCACGCTAGCACATGCAGCATGCCAAGCCATCTGGAATCACAACTTCTTAGCGGAATTAGGGTTTATCCAGGAAGAACCTACTCTGATATTCGAGGACAACCAGTCTACTATTGCCATCGCAAGGGATCCACAGTACCATGCACAATCGAAGCACTTTGATGTGCAGAACTATTTTGTTCGAGAAAAGGTGGAATCTGGAATCATCGATCTAGTGTACTGCCCCACAGATGAGATGGTTGCTGACATCTTTACAAAAGTGCTGCCGAGACCCAAGCATGAGAAGTTTGTCCATGAACTGGGCCTATTGCCATCTTGAGGGGGAGTGTCGAAGATGTGCCAGCCACATGTGGCAATCCGGCAATCGGATTAGAGTTGAAGCCACATGAGAACCTTCACGTCTCTTCTCCTCGAGTCATTCATTCGTCTGCTCACTCAGCAATGAGTCAGACATGGACACCAGTAGGTAGTAGTATATTCTAGAAGTACATACCTTGTAGTATATATACCGGGGATCTTAGCCTCCAATATTCATTGCTTTAGGACCTATTAACTTAATCTCTCTCAAATGGTTGAGTCTCTCAGTTTACCACTGCATGTACCACCTTCATTACATCCTATTCTACAACACCCACTGAGGGACACGAGCCCCCAGTGCCATTATGTGAAGAGGGAAGGTGCACCTGAAACACTTGAATTTCTCCATTGGGCTTGATGATGATGTTTGCCCCTGTTTCTTGACCAGGGCACCCAGACTGGGGATGTCCGTTCTCTGTTGCGAATGCGTTCTGCAATACTGGGACGGCTCTGCCAGTGACAACCCTGTCAGGGGTGCCTCATTTGGTCTTCCCACCACCTGGGAGCTTGATCCGAGGCTTGGTGTTGCTCCTGCTTCCAGAAACAGTGTCAGTTACTGTCAAACCTTCATCCAGGAGCACTGTTACGCTACAGGCCTCCACCATTCCTGCTGGCTCTGCACCAGCCTTCTCAAGCAGTTCACCAGCATCCCACAGGTGCTGACTCATAATGGTTCCGAGGCCACTCTTGCAACCACCGTCCTTTGGCACTAGACCCTCCAGGTTCATTGCCTCTGAAGAGGTGGGGATTCTACCCCATTTGAGTTTGGCAATTCTTCCTTACTTTCTTCGACATTGAGCACAGCAAAATGATTATGATTGCATAATGTATCTACAGAAACACGATGAGTCTGTCCAGCATTAGATGTAGAAGAAACTAAGTCCTTGGCTGCCTGAGATGAATCACTTACTTCTTGGTGGCCTCCTCTTTTACCTCCTCAATCTTTGTCTTGGCCCTGTTGACCTCCTCCTTCTCTGCCTCAGCGAGTAGTTGTCAAAGTCTGGCTGCATCTGGTTTCTTCCTGGGCAGCATCTTTACCTTCTTCCACTCTGATTTGTCAGGAGAGCACTTGTTGTCGTGCGATATGTGGTTGCGAAGCCTGCAGCGGAAGCAAAGCTTCTTGTTCTGGAGTTCGTCGATCTCCATGAGCTGTCCTGCTCCTCTGTATGTCATTCCTAACACATCTTTCTTGTTGCTGGAATTCCCAGAACTGCTGGCTTTTCCAGACGATCTTCTGCTGTTTTGATTGCCTTGACCAGAATTGTTCTGGGAGGACTTACTAAGGTTACCACCCTGATTGGCAACATTATAGCGGTAGTTGGCATTGATGCGCTCAATTTGGGCCTTTCATTCAGCATATGTTATTGGTCAGTTGTTGTCCCCATGCATGATGGTGTTCTTGACAGTGGGTCATACCACATCTTCTACTGTTGTGAACATTGATTTTTTGTCCCCAAACTCGTTGCATTCAAGGGCCAACTCTTCGAAGCAAGCGAAGAACTTGATGGCCGAGGAAAAGTTAGCCTGTCGTAGCTTCTTCCACTTTTGGCACTTGATGGCCAACTTCGTGATTTCCCAGAATCAGTTTGTGACTCAATTGTGGAAATCCTCCCAGTTAGGGTACCTCCAGTGAGAGCACACGGGGTCTCAGTATATGTGCTCTTGTTGGTCCCACCATTCTTGGGCCTTGTCCTTGAAGTACAAGGTAGCAAAGGCTACCTGGTACGGGTTGTGTCCATAGTCATTAAGGGAGTAGTGGGAGGCAAAGATGGCGAAATAGGCTTCGCACTGGTTAAAGAATTGCCTTATTTCAGTGGACTTCCTGTGGAACTGCTCAGGTTTGTTGATCAATTTGGGCTTCACCAAGCCCCATGGATTTGGGTCTGCCAGCATGAGTTCCCATCGCAGGGGGGGTGTTTGGGGGTTTCCCGCCAGGTGGTCCTGGCAGTAACGTGGGGTTCGGTGGTCTGGGTAGAGACTGCAAGTTATGGTTGTGATGGGGGCTTGAGTACCCTCTAGGCCGACTTCAATGGTTGATGGGAGGTGGCAGCAACTGGGATGGCTTCTTCGTAGAGGTATCAGCCATGTTGGCATCCTTGTGGCCATCATCAGCTCCTTGTGCCATGGCTCGGAGTTTGAATCCAGGAGAGAGCAGAAGTGGTGCCAGCCATCAGTAAGGAGCACCTGGCTATCTCGGATCTTCAGGGTGGATTTTGTTCCAGACATTGGCTGTCAAACAATAGGTCTCAACAAATATGATATTGGTGGTGTCGCATCCTTGGTAGGTGGCCACCATCTCAGGTTCTCCAACCCTGTACCCTCCTTGTACGAAGTTGGCTTCTGGGTGTCCTGCATGGGTGACCCAGGTTGGGCTAGGGGATCAGTGGGGTATGGTGCCATCCAAAGCATGTGGCCACTGGGCCTCTCCCTGCTCTCTGACTCTTATTTGGAGTGCTGCTGCCTCTCCTCCAGCCTCCAGATGGGCCTTGACTTCTGGGGGGAGCCAGGCAGACTCAATGTTGAAGCCCGACTCAATGAGCATGAGATGGACATGTGTCCAAGGTCACTCAAATGGGACGATGGGGGAGGCAAGCATGTGGGCCTCTGTGACTCATTGGTTCTTGGCAACAAAAGGTCACTCAGGGTCTCCAAGGGTCGGTGAATCTGGTCTAAGGGGACTGGAATATTGGGGGTAGGTGGGGACACCTTGAGAGGGCCCTGCAATGGTTTCTGGGAGGGGGAGGAGGTCATTGTTGGCCTCGATCCAATCCCAGATGGCTTGTTGCTGCTCATCCTCACTGGTGGGGGAATCAGGGGGCATATAGGGCTCAGGGGAAGGGCCTCAGGCAGTGAGGTAGTCAATCTAGCTGTCAACATTGCTCGGGGGTAATTCTCAGGTCCATCTCCCCTGAGAAGGATGCTGAGGCTTGGTACCACTCCATGTTGAGCAGTCCAGGGACTGAGGATGGTAAGATCCTCCATCTGAGTTTCTACAGTTATGGATTCTTGCGACTGCCTCTTCATGTGCTTGGAGCACTGAGAGGTAGAAGCTTCCAGGATGGGGATCAGGGTTCTCTTTGTCCCCCAATGACATGACAAAATTGTCAATGGATCCACTGCCTCTGTAAAGGTCCACAAGATCCCCTTCTTCTTCTTCTCTTGATCTGCCTGGGAGCCCTGAGTTTGGACGGAAAGGCATGAATCCTGCACTGGAGTGTTGGGATCCTGGTATGGACTCTGCGATGTTGACAGATCCTGATCGACTGGAGTTTGTGGTTAGGATGGGTGTGATGGGTCTTCCATTGTGAAGGGTTGGTTGGGGAGGTGCTAGGATATGGGGATATGGGTAGATGTAGTATGGGATGGGAAAGTGAGGGATGGGTTGTAATGGAAGTTGTGCACAGTCTCTGCGTCGGCAGCAGGAGAATATCCTACCAATCCAGTACAACAGGGTGCCTGCACAGAAGAGCCCGAAGGCTATAGTAACAGTGATGGTTTGGTTAAGCAATAAAAGGGGCATTCATCAGTCACCATCATTTGACAACAATGAAGGACGTGCGAAGCAAGCTTTGGCTAAATGTTAGCAACCAACTCTACAAACAAGGTCAAACAAGAGAATGCCACTCGCACTTTGGTGGTCACTCACAATGTCTGCGTTGCCTGCTGGAATGAGCAGGTAACCAACTTAGATAGTCATGGAGCAGGGAGCAAATAGGACTGAGTGTTTAAACCTTAGCTGAAGCTGGGGTTTAGGCCAGCTGAGGCTCTACTTAAATACACTTGGAGTATACTAATAATAGACTACTATCATTCAGTAACCATGCGTGAAATAAAGAGAATCATACAATGACCCAAGCACTTGGATGCACTGATAAGATAAAGACAAGCCCTGAAAAGATAAAAAGGAAAAATTGTAACAAGGGGAAAGTAGCAAAAGCAGAACACCTTGATGTTGATATGCCATCTATGTGTTCACACCTAGATTTTGTGATTTTATAACAATACTATTGCATGTCTATCCAATACTAGTTAAACAACAAGGGCTATAGTTGAGGCTTCGAACTAATAGTCAAGTTAGCATGCTACTAGTTGAGTCAGGACTTAGGAATGACACCAATAGTGGGTCAGACCTACTAGCTGACCAGACTAGTGCCTCTGAACTAGTGAGACTCAGTAAAATATGGTCACTAGTAATGAGTGCAGCTGCTAGTGCCCAAACAAGAAGTAAGAACCCACACAGACCTCGACCATTCAGTCACTAGTGGACCAATCTGGGCATGAATGCCTAAGTCAAGATAGCTAGTCACGTGAGCACTTCAGATGGGACTTAGAAACAAATGAGTAAAGACATAACCCTTAGCCCAGATCCAGCTAGTGTGATACAGATCTAATACAATTGGTACTAGTATAGCCAGGCTGTGTTCCAATCATGATCAAGCAGTTCCTACAAGCATGGTTGCCTGACTATTTGTTTAGCCATGTCACTAGTGGAGCATGGTTGGGCAAAGGGTATGGAAAAGACCAATAGCAGAGTCTCTAGACCCACTATCCAACAGAAAGACCAGCCTAGGCTGACTATGGCATGACTATTCACCATTATTCATGACTAGCCAAGATATTCTTATCAATATTACTCCTATGAATCTATTTATATTTATCCTGTACCTTTCTCTGTAGTATATAAGTAGTAGAAGGGGTGGCCTAGCAAGCAGGCAAGCCATCCCCATGATTGTGACCTACTAGTCAGTATTCTAGTGTCCCAATTAAAGGCTTTTGTGCTTAACCTCGACGAAATGTCTACTAGTTGCTTCATCACCTATAGTATTGAATGAATTGAAGTGTCTTAAAGTTGCTATTCCATCTTGGAGTGACTCAGAGCATTTCGAAGTTAGTTAAAGTATTTTCTCAGAGTTAAAGTATTTGTTCTTAGGCTAAGAGTGCCACTAGTCGAGCCTAGGGTGCCACTAGTCAAGTGTAGACTGCTTGTGAGACCCAGTATTTGGCCCAGGGTGCCACTAGTTTCAAAGTATCAGAGTTAGACCGAGTGCAGTTGCTCAACCCAAGTCACTATTCATCCAATCATGTCTTAAAACTCTGCTAGTGTGAGTATTACATCTTTTGTAGCTCACTAGTACCAAATATACATCTTTAAACAACCTTTCCCTGATTTATTGAAGTCTGCAGAGTGCTTCTATCATACTTGAAACACCTGAACTCAATATAATTGGTGATTAATGTAGAGTAGTAGAGGGTTTTGGTGTTGTGGTGTTCATATCCATTCACTAGCCTTTTGTCACTCACCATTACTGAGCACATCAGCGCATCAAAGCTTTGATCATGGATGCTTGCATATCACTGATGATGGGATGTCTCTTGATAAGGAGGTAGCTGTAAACCCTATGCTTCTCCCTCTCCATGGAATATCACTGTTGCATCATCTCCACATGCTCTCAAACTACCTATGTCTCTCTAGTTTTTTCCTCATCCTTTATGATGTACTCTCCATTAACACTTCTGGTCCACAGTGGGATACAAGCACATTCACCATTGCTAGAGGCTGTTCTTCATAGAACATTCACTATCACCATATGCATGGATCTCTTATCTGGCAGAGATGGTTATGGGGGCATTGATGGTTGTGCTAGGCCAGAGCCAACATCCTTCACATATGCTACAATCCCTCCATATGCATACACCTTGCACTGCATGTATCTCTCTTCCATGGCCATGTTATTTACAACACCACATCAAGTCTAGCTTATTGTTGAGGGCAGGATGGTGTCAAGCTGAAGAGGTTGATGCGGATGGATCACCATACAGCCCAGACCCTGTACTATTCTTTGAGGAGGAAGACAAGCTATCTTCTAGTTGCTTCGTCACCCAGTTCTCTCAAATGTTCAGGACGTTTTGCATCTCTCCAACATCCTAGTTTATATGTAGCACACATATATCTGCCTTTCAACAGGTAGTGAAATTGCATATGTTCAGTATGTCACTCATTCCCCAATTAGATTGGTAGAATTTACCTCGACTCTCTTAATTCACCACCCTAGGAATCCATGTCCTCCCTCACCCACAGCTTACATCATCTCAAACTAATATTAATGGCGAGCTCATATCGTACCAGTATGTGATTTTCAGCATTTCTTTGCTCATCTGATAGGGATTTCCTTTGTAGTCCTGATAGAATACTTGAGAGGGAGCAGATGCCATCATCATAATAAGGTGGGAAGGAATCTCCAAGCTTGGCATCACTTCTCTTAATCACATGCCCTGCTGTCCATCATCAATGTTGAGGATTGTTATAGTTCTTCCTACTGGTACATCTAATTGGCCACAGCTCATATCTTCCCACTGATGTGCATCCAGCATGAGATCAATACCAATGACAATTGAATGCCCGTTCACAACATATTTCCAATGGCTTTTGTTCAGGATGGCAGCTAAGGGGTGGTCAGAGGAAAATCACCCTCCTATACCACCTTTCAATGAACAAATTCCTTTCCTCACAAGCTTTTCTGTTTATGCCTTTGACTTCATCATGATAGCTGGTGTGGTCCCTCCCTTGTTTGTTGATGGCAATTTTTGTCTTGTTTTCTTCTTCAACACCAGTAGTCAGTGGTCCAAGTTCATGAATGCACCTCTCATATTGATGACAAACTTGTGCCCTAATGCATAGGTTTGACTCCTACCTAGCTTCACATTGTTACAGAATTTATGGTGTTTTTCCATTAGCTTCTTATTCTCTTGTCATGGTATATCAAAATCAGTGGCATCGCAAAGGAAATACTAACTTTCTTCAAGCTTGAGTTTGGTAGGTAGTGAACATGAAGGATTCCATAATATACAATATATGAGACCACTCTGCTTTTATTTTCATTCCGCTAATAAAAGCAACATAGAAAAGCTCATGCAAAGACTAAAAATTTGTAACTCACCCTTACAACTCTCCCACTTGGAATCAAACTGAGCATTTGTTGTGTAGACCGATGTGCTACTAGAGAGACAACATTATATCAAAGTACCACAGGCTCACCAGGAATGTTTGTAGCCATTCAGAGACAAACATCATGTTTGGGTGGCATACAGATCCTCTGTGCATTGCTCAGTTCATAAATGAATGGGGGGGAAAGCTGAGGGTGCATCACATGAAACAAAGTGCATATTGTTTAAAAATATACAGGAACTGGATAGTATCCGATTATCATTTTGGGACTCAAACCTAGAATATCGCATGCTCATCTGATACACTACAAAAAGGCTGTCTTTGTTGTGTACTTGAATTCATGTCTGGAAAGAAAGGCCACAATGACATGCAACAGATGGTTAGTTATTTTTATCCCTCATAATAATATAATAAAACTGCTCGACACTCAACAAAGTACTCATAAAACTTGTCATAGTGTAATACTCCTTGCTTCCTACCAGTACATCTAATCCATCACAACACATACTCTCCTGCTGGTGCACATCCAACGTGAGATCAATACCTGCAGGATATAAATTTACATTTGCGACGTACATGTCATGAGTTCCTGAGCTTTCACTCTGGATAGCAGCTCTTTATGTGTATGCACCTCACAGGTATGCTTCAATAGAATCTTTCAGTTGGGATGTGAGTAATGTACTTTTTAGTATCTTCTCAACAATACAATGTCTGCTTATTTCTGGAAAAGCTGCAGTGCCATTCAATCCTCCGTGTCATCCAAAAATGTTAACATGAAAGAACATGCTTATTCCACTGTTGGGATTCAAACCCACACATCATATACATTGCTAATAAGCCACCAATGGATTATTCTTTGTAGCATCTCTAAGAATTCCTGTCAATACATCCAGCATGGGTGGCACCATTGTGGAGTTGAAGGTAGTTAAGATATTGCCTCCTGCTTACCTGATGCATTGGCTCTTAGTCAGAATATGGACTACCCTAATTGAAGCCGGGGCAAATTCAGAAAATTAAAAAATAAAAGTGAGATCTGATAATGAGAAACAACTAAGCACCTGCTGGGATTTGAACCCAGCTGGTGCAGTGCATGAGCTAACTGCTACATTGCAGGAGAGGTGATTGGCAAGGGAATATGTCAGTCTAGGAGACCCACTCCCAACCTACAGAAGAAAGGGTGTTTGTCCAACTGAAATCTTGCTGTCACAGTCAAATGCCTTTAATTGTATGAGGATTGTTGTTCTAAAACTCAAATTGCAGGTATCGTTAAGAATTGCATTGCTCTGTGAGCTGGCATCACAAAAGAATTATTAACTCACTGACTATGTTAGTAGGTGTATCTGACCTTAGGGTCGATATTTAGACTGATTTGTAAAGGCTGATTGCTTCGAGCTTAAGTCTGGTACTGATTCTAGCATTTTTTCATGTCTCTGTTCCTTTCACCTACTGAATTCTGTCCTGCTATTAAATGTGTGTTGGTTGCCTATGTATTAACCATCTCTGGTAGTGCACTGGTCAGTGGTCAGTACACACAGGTGGGTTCGACTCCCACACAGAGATGTAGCATGCTCCATACACATACACTTTTGTTCTTCCTTAGTAGAGGAATGCTACCAATGAATGCAACTTGGAAGAATAAAAATGGAATATTTCCTAGTATTCATTGTGTATACTAATGAGGCAGTAGATTAATGAGTGTGCAAGCTAGTCCCCCCACACCACTCATGCATTGTCAGAGCATGTCTGAATCCAGTATGCAACCTATTATTTTAAGTGCCTACTTATCATTGTTTTGTAAATACCACGAACAAGGGCTGGTTGCGAGCAGGAAATAAGAAATTAGTAGTGGACAGTAAGGATGGGTTTGAGTGCAGTATCACAAATAAAAATGTAGAGAAAATACATTGATACTCTCATCAGGAGTCGAACCTGGGCCTGAAAGGTCTGTGTATTAGCTATTACACCATCAGAGAGATAACAACCGATATTTGTCACATCAGTCAATCAGGCTTGTTCATCTTCCCGCCACTCCTATGACTGTCAACAATGCTCTGAATGTGACAACTGCACTGAGAATTTAACCATGAAGAAAAATCCTGCTATCTTTGCTGAGCATTCACTGAAATCTCATGAGGCATGGTGGAGAAGGTGTCTGGACATTTGGCACATTGGTGCATGCTTAAAGAGCTACTTATTCCATCCATATTGTGGCTGCCTTACACATTGACCTGCATCTGGATGATAGGCAAACAGAACATGTGAGGAGCTAGGAAGAGAGGAGGAAGAGAGCTTTTGTCAATGAGTATATGACTATTGATGGTATAGTTGACTTGGTTTGTTGCATGGAAAGGAGTTTCATAGTGCCTAAGTATGTAATATTCCTTCATATCTGCATGCATATGGCTCATTCAAACTGCCTTTGATTTCTGAGCAGTTCTCTCATGACAACATCCTGCACGACACCTCCTGCACATGTCCTGCTCCCATGCAAACACCCAACATCGATCAAATTGCTAGACCTCATGCATATACTCACTTATAGCTATAAATGGGATGGGACTTACCAGAAGTAGTTACATGTTGATATCAATGCATCTCTGATAGTGCACCGGTTAGTGCACATACTTAGTTTGGTTTGACTCCCTGTGGAGGGATATGAAAGTAATAACCGTGGTCTACTTTTAATCTACCCTCGAGGGGATTATTGCCATTTTTGAAAATGATGATAGTAGTGAAAAAAATAAAAGTTTAGTTTTGGCCATGTAAAGCAATGATGTCATGCATACTAGCGCACACTTTGCCCTCTGACCATCATCATTATACTCAGCCCCCTAGCCTTGTACTGCATGGTCTACTGCCATATCAGTGATGATCTCAAGTGAACTGCTCTCTGCATGAGAGCAAGAGGAGATCCTGCTGAGGAAATCCTATGCATGACAGGGTTCTCATTATCAACACTCTATCGCACTCAGTGTCATTTCCAACTCACTGGAGATGTTGCAAAGGAACAAGCTCTCAGTTGTGGGCATCCTCAAAAGCTTCTTGCTGCAGATATAGCATACCTTCTCTCTCTAGCCCAGCACAATCCTTCAAAATTCCTCAATGAATATCAAGAACGTCTTCAATGCTATTGCAACATCACTGTCTGTCTTACTACCATCCACCATGCATTTGAAGATGCTAGCTATAGTGTCAAAAAAATCACAAAGATGGTGAAGGAAAAGTGTCCTGACAAATGTGCTAGCTTCATACAACGCATCACCAAGTATCCAGCTTCATATCTTGTGGCAATGGATGAGGCATCAAAGGATGACTGCACATATTCTCGGATGTGAGCCAGGGCCTCCCAGGGAAAGCATGTGCCTGTCACTCAGCCATTTGTTCACAACAAGTGCTTCAGTATTTGTGGGGCATTGACACTAAATGATGGTATTATCACTACAAAGGTGGTAGAAGGCTCTTTTGACCATGAGAAGTTCATCTCATATCTCCATGAAAGCATGGTTTGTCTTGCTTTTTGCATGTTTACTATCTCAGCTTATCCTTGCATGATTAGCTTCCACTCATGACTCCCTATCCTGGTCCTCGAAGTGTCCTAATTCTTGATAATGCTTGTATTCATCATTCCGAAGAGATTGAAAATTTGGTTAGGGCATATTGTCATGGATTTCATGTCTTTTCTGGTTGGTACATGAGTCAACACATGCCTACTCTCGGCCTTGACCTTGGCCTACTGGTATTTTCTCCCATTTTCTCTTACTTTCTCTTACTTTCTCCTTTCTTCTTGCCAATACTAGAATAATAATGACTCATTTCCTTACTAGTGGTATATAACTATCATACTTGCCATTGTATTAGGATCTTATGCTAATTTTACTCATCTTTGAATGTCCACTTAACTGTGCGATATAAGCAACCCTGATCAGTTATGCCTAGTGCTTGCTGACACCCCCGTTAACTATGCCTAGCGCTTGTTAGCACCCTTATGGATCCCTCTTGGTGGTTGGAACTTGGCTTTCAGACATCCTTGCTCAGACTCGGGTTTACTTGAGTAATCATTACCTTGTGTATTAGCTCAAATTACTCTAATCCTTAACACATATGGTGAGATATCTGTTCATTAGACTGTTGCCATGATGTTAACTGTGCTATCAGGCTGCAGGATTGAGTTCCTTCCACCCTACTCCTCTGAATACAATCCCATCAAGCAGGCATGGTCAGTAATCAAGTCACATCTCCATCATCAAGGTATCAGCTTCTACCAGTTAAGAGTGCAGTACTTTGAACTGTATCAAGCTTGTGACATCATTACCAGTGATATAGCACAAGAATTCTTTATACATTCAGGTTATTACATTGACTGAAGCATGTACATAATGATAACTAATGGTTTACTGAATGCTTCCACCAATTTTCTGCATTGTGGATATCACCTAACTGAGCAGGATGTAAGAATGCCTCCATTGCCAATATCTCATCTGACAGATAGGCTAGCATGTGTGGTCCGGTAACCTGGTACATAGATAACTTGTCATAAATATCCTCAGAAAGTGTATAGCAAGCACAGAATGTAGCGAGATCGATTTTTGGTGCAAAGTTGACTTTCTGGGATGGCTCTAGAGGTTGAAGTCATTGTGCTGGAGCTCCAAGGATGTCAGGGAAGTTCAGGAAGTAAAAATTCATCGGCGGTGTCACAGGAGGAGCAGAGGCAGGAGCATAGGTCACCTTGCGACACTGAAGAAGGGCATCATCCACAGCAGTACAGCCGAGCTGGAACATTCTGGTGTCTAGCACATGGTCGATATCAACTTGAGCAACCTTTTCGACCTGTACAATATGAAAGCATCATTGCGAGAATTGGGGTGAGGGCTCACTATAGCAGCAGCCCAAGTATCAAGGTGCATAGCAGTGAGAAAGATATGCTTCCCACTTATCGCATCTGGCCAGCAAAGCTTCCTATAGTTACAGCATTCAACATCATGACACAGGTGTGCCATCTGCAAGTTCACAATTTTGTCCTCAATCTCGAGCTCGTGTGCTGTGCATTCAGGCCTCTAATAAAGTCCTGGTGAGGCAAGGAATACAGTAGAACAGTATGTACTCACAGATTTGCCTGTCTTCTTCTTCTTTGATCTGCTAGTTTCTTCCTCATTGTCAGAACTGTCTCCATCATCCTCACCATTCTCTAGTAGTAGAAAGTGAATATATGCGCTACAAGAATAAAGTAACGTACATCTTCAACCAATTCCAAGGTGACTTCCAGTTTCACCTTCTTTTCCACCTGCTTGACCATATCTTCAAAGGTGTCAATGGAATCGAGAGGCATATCCTTGTCTGCTGAGCAGGGCACCATCCATGTAGCCATAAAGTTCTTTGCATATAATTCACCAGCAACAACCTTGAAATCAAGAGTCCTTTCATCACGCTTCACAGACTGGATAGCATAGCCAAGGATTTCACCCAAGACTGAGAGTTCATGGGCATAGAAAGTTGCATTGACAGGCTTGCATACTGCATTTGACCGTCGCTTTTTGCCAGCCCTCAGAGGAGGAAATTTTGGTATGAGTTTGACCTTGTAGTGAATGCCGCATCCGTCATTGTAGGCAGATGCTGGTCATGGTTAGTAAATTAGATTCAAGCAGATATAAGGACTCACTAGGGTATTCATTATCATCATCTTCATGTTCAGTAGAGTGCCGAGAGCTTGTATCAGAAATTGCATACACAGGGGAGAATTGACAGAGGAGGGATGAAAGAAGGGAGAAAGAGAGAGTCGGAACATCGCCTCTTGGTGCCCTTTGCCCTGATGACATCATTGCCTCACATGGCTGAAACTAAACTTTTATTTTTTTTGCTACTGTCATCATTTTCAAAAATGACAATAATGACATGGAAGAATAAAAAACTATTATTTAGATCTTAGACTGAGACTTACATACTACTACTTACTACTCAAGAGATGAGGCCATCCTGTGACACATATAGTCATAGGTAAGAACATTTTCACCTAGAATAACCTTGTACTTGGGTGGTTTAGGTACAAGAACTGTAATAAAATACAAATCCAGGAATCAGACAGGTCCTGCACTACTCACCTATGCCACAAAACGGAATGAAAGACAACACATTCATACTCTCATGGGGGAGTCGAACCTGACTTGAATAGCACCTGCACTAACTGCTACACCATTGGAGAGGTAACTGATGTCGTCAGCTCATAACTAGAAGTGAGCAGTAAGGATGAATTTGAGTACAAGTACATATTACCGATAAAAGAGGATGAAAGAGGTACATATTCTCATTGGGAGTCGAACCCGCCTTGAACAGTGTATATTAACTGTTCCACCAATGGAGAGGTATCAGATATCGTTACATCAGCATATCATGCTTCTCTGCTACTATCACCACCATCTGAACATAACACCAGCATGAGGAATCTTCCCAGCAAACAAAATCCAACCATTTTTGCAGAACATCGTATTATGCGCTGCAGAGGGTGTCATGTTTTCACGAGACAAGTATTGCTTCACATCATGCACTTCTACTTGTTGTCATGCATTGTCTTGCATTAGGATGATGGGGAAATGAAACATGCCAGGAGTGAAGGGGAAGGGAAGAAGAGGAGATCTTTCGTTGATGGTGTATGCATACTTTGTCAACATTTGTCGACTCAGCTTCTTATATGGAAAGGAGGGTCTTGGTGCCTAGGTATGTAATCCTCTCTTCATATCTGCACACATAACTGATGACGATTATGCTCTATGGCTAATCTGAACCACCTTGGATTTCTGAGGCAATTTCTGTCGGCAACATCCTGCACACCCCCTACTGCATGTGTCCCGATCTGCACCGACACCCAAAGTCAATCGAATTGCTTCTTCTACTCCAACATTCCTCCATGGGCTCGCCTCTGTAACAACCCCGCTGACCTCAAGATGCGAATCCAACAAGACTGCATGCATATACCCATTTCCCATCATGAACGTGATAAGAGGTCATGGAAGCTAGAAGAGGTGCATGTAATCAGGCACTGTTCACTCTCAGTTCGAACGTGCCAGGCAACTTTCTATGGCCACACTCGAAGCTTTGGTTAATGCGTCCTCCATCACGTCGAGGGTGGGATAGCATGGTCCTCAAATGAAGATGATGGGTCCTATTCAAACCAAAGCTAGATGCGATGTGGAGAGGTAAAAGTGCTCGCTTCCCTCAGAAATGTTTCTTTTGGGCATGTCACCAAGTCGATGTCAGCTTGGAACGATAGATAACATGAGTGAGTCAAGCATCCCAGGTAGGTCATTGTCTATAATTAGCTACATGGCTAATCAACTCCCTATAGCATGTGCATTCTACCCTCCTGTATGCAGCCAAAAACTCCTATCTTTGTAATCTCATCTGTTTCTCACTCCCTCGTATTAAATACCAGTGTTTTAACATTGTCCTTCCCTCGATGTTTGCCTCTCGCAGTCCCTTCTCCCACATCTTGACAGCTCCATGTATATGAGCTCTTCCATCTCTGTTCCTCTGCGCCGGGTCTCAATGATTCCTTTGTGCATGGGGAATATCTTCGCTCTTTACTCTCACAACCGGTGGAAGGCCACTGATTGGATACCATCTGGAGAAATATCAAAAGACACGGACGGCGGTGTTAATGTCTCTCATGGCTTATGGGTGTATCGGCAACTCCATACACTTCCAGTATAATTTCCTTCTGATTCACCTTTTCCAGAGTAATGCGACCGCATATATGCTACCAGCCTCTCTGTATGTGCCTTCAATTACCGCCTCTTGGTCCACACCGCTAGCATCATCCACCTGGCACCTATGTGTATGAGATGAAATGAAAATTGTGTGTATGTTGGCTTGTGCTGCTCGTTTTCTTCAAGTGAGCATCATTGTTAACTGTTAGGATTATGGCTAATTCCGACTAAGTACGAAGCAGTAGTACTTAATAAAAATCCATGCCAAAGAGAATGAAGAATATAACGAGTTCAACTTTACCAAGAAGTCTCCAACCAAGAGTTAGCAAGCGCTAGGCATAGCTAAAGAGATCCGAAAAGCACTTGGCGTAGTCGGTAAGCAAGACGTTCGGCAAGCGCTTAGCATAACCGACTTCTTTACTTAAGTTCACACTGGGTTGAGGAATTCAAGAAGTAAAATTAGATGCTAATCAGGCATACTACGATACTCAATATATATATTCTACGAGATGAAGATTCTAGAAGGTAAATAACTAAGGAATATACTAGAAGAGTATCGAAGGAAGGAAAAGGAAAAGGAAAGAAAATGCAAGAAATTTCTATAGCCTACGTGATGCTTAGTAAGGTAAATAGTCGGTGAGTGTTGACTAACGCTACATGCCTATTATCCATAACATTAACAGCAGGTACTCAAAGGAATGAATCACCATCCTACACAATTGCAAGCCCTTCCAGACCGCTGAAATGTCCGCCGAGTCAAAGAGAGCTACCTGTATATCTCTGACTTGTTTTTGCTACGATGTCAAGTATGTTATCTCTCTCTATCAGTGTAATATGGCTTATCAATAGTAGCAGACACTACAGAGCTTGGATCGGGTCATGGAGGTAATGATATCCTCCCTCTACTGGCTAGAGGAGAGTTACCAAGTCTCTTGTGATGGGAGTGGGTTGGGGATTGATGTGACCATCCGAGAAGAATCTCTCAATCAGGGAAAGGGCCAATAGCCTCCTAGGTAGGCTGACCTGCGTTCTACAATCCCTAACTTATAGCAATATTCTCGTCGCAGTGATTCCAGTTCATCTACATGGCCCCTGACCTTGAATCCCTCTGTACTATGTCTTTATCATGCGGTGTCCTCGCCTGGTGCAATCTTTTTTGTTGTAGAACCGCTTTCTTGGGATGTTATCTTTTGAAAAGCCGCAATTTCAACAAGGCGGTCTCTTCCTTGCGAAGACAATCAATGGAATGGCATGTATTACTCTCATCAATAATGATGACAACTCGAATCGATCGTTCGGTACTTGTGTCAGAAAATGTATGTCGACCCAGAGCTGCTCGTTCTCCTCATCCGGCCTCACCTGCTTCTAGCGAACGTTAAAGTACAGGGAATTTCTCCATAGGTAAGGTATACGTTTTGACTGTCTTGCAATGAATGGGTTCTTCATCTTGAATGCGTAGTCTTCCGTTCTTGTCCGGAAGTTTTCTCATCTGTGTTCCTCTCTGTAATGATGTCGTTTTGTTTTCATCAGTAGACATGGAGTTGGAACATAAGGAGGTATTCCTATTCTTTACTTTCCATTTTCTCGCTCCCCCCCTCCCCGGTTACAAACCCGAATACATGCTTGCAAAGAGAAACTAGTATTTCAATTATTATTGCTATTTGAGGGACGGAAAATCATAGGATATGTAATGTGGACTAGTACATTTGTTAACACCTCCGTATAACTGTGGGGTTCGACTCCCCAACGGATGCATACCATCTTAACGGAAATAGGAACCTTTTTTTGCTACGACAAGAGAAAGGTAAACAATGTCGTTATTCCAACATATCTGGCTGCTCCTTCCTCGGCGACTACTGAGTACTCTGACCATCGATGACTCTGTGAATGGTATACCAGGAACCAAACCGCACGAAATCCCTCTATTATTGCCGACAAAATGCTGTTATCTTCCACGGCCTACTGGAGAATGTGGATTAGCATTTAGTGGGGCGAAAGTGAATACTCGCCTCAGGCCTACTCTGTGGGGAAGTCGCAGTTATTTAATTGAGCGAGACTCATGAGTCGAGCATCCCAGGTAAGTTATTATCTATCATTCACTGCATGGCTGATCATTATACTCTAGAAAGTGCGTTCTCCATCGTTTCCTTTTCCTTGATTATGGTACACTTCCTTTCCAGTATGGACAGTCTGAACATTTTCAATGGTGAAAGAAGATATGGGCGTAATGTAAAGTGTCTCTTGTAGCATATTGGTTAGTGCACATGGATGGGTTCGACTCCCATACAGAGATTTCTATGATGGGAAAGCGTGAAATTTTATTTTCCTTCGAATTATTTAATAAAAGTAGCATAGGTCACGCAAAGAATAACAATGGATGACATGGACCGATCTTGGCGGCTCTCCCGCTTGGAATTGCACCCTGATTCCGTTTATGTAGATTAGGGAGAAGAACTTGTGCCGCATTACTATGGGCCTATCAGGGAAGTGCGAATTTACTTAGATAAAACCTCGTGTTCAGGAGAGTGCACATATCATCTATATCGTCACTTAGATCACAAATCAATGAGGGGAAAGGCTAAGGATGCATCCTGCTTTTGTACTCAATATTCATTAATTTTTGCATGCATTCAAGTTGTTTTGTGCTGCTTTTTTTCAGCTCTTTTGTTTCCGCATGAGAAGAGTACACGAATCTGCTGTTGGCTTGGATTATTGGCAAGACAATAAGTAAAAATACACCCTCAAAATCGAAATCATTACGAATATCTCTGAACATGCTGAATGAAACCAATTTTGAATGAACTGCGGCCTTGCACCCCATCCTTCACAGCACTACATTCCTCCAAGCGCATGGAACACGCCAGATCATGGCACATAACATTTAAAAATATAAAGAAACTGGATAATATCTGATTATCCTTTTGGGACTCAAACCCAGAATATCGCACGCCTAGCCAATACGTTACTCAGGAACTATCTTATTGCTGTCTTGTGTACTGAAATTCATGTCTGGAAAGAAAGGCCATGGCCGCATCCAGAGGATGGGTGTTCGTGTTTTTTACCCCTTAGAATAAGACTGCTCGCTGATCCACAAAGTAAGTGCTCATAAAACTAGAGAATAAAAACAGGGATGAAAGAATAAAGCATGCTCTCGCAGGGAGTCGAACCCAGGTCACTACACCACCGGAGAGGTAATCCACAACATTATGTCAGCCGCATCTCTTCGTCACAATTCACCATGATGTATAAGCAAGCAGCATCTTTGCTCTCGCTTGTAATGCCTTGCTTCACACGCAGACACGACACTCTATGGTTTCGCTCTAGTTCCTTCTCCTACACAGTGCATGTAACGACTGACAAACTGGATGCTCAGATCTCGGAAGGAAAATTGTTCTTCCATGGCGAATCCAGTAGCTCACTCTTCTGCTTCGTCGACCATACACTTGGTATTAGCATTTCGAGGGAACAAAGGAAATTTAGGGTAAGTCAACTCGCACTTTTTTCCATCTATAACTACTCCTAAATGATAGTATCAGACGACGAGTTTGTCGACTCATTTCTCTATGCTAATCCACAGCCCCTACCTCCCATTCACACTCCGACACCAACTAAACCCACGCGCCATTATTCACCCTCGTAAAAAGTGCTGTATAAGGCCAAGCTGATATCCATCACGCAGGTTGTTGATGCTATCGCATCTTCGTGTTCAGGAAAGTCGCTTGATACCTGTCATGACCATGCCACAGGAACCAGAGTCCTTCGACGGTACGGAACATGAGGTGCCCTTAAAACTGCACGGATTGGTGTATGCGGATTACCGTCGCTTGGCTGTTGAACCTATTTCTGAACCTGTTCTTCCCTTTGAATATGTATTCTCGTGGTACAACACAATAATAACTCTTCACTGGCTCTCCGGAATACTTGCGACGACGGACCGCAGAAGAAGAGCTCGCGATGGTCATGGGTACAATCTCGGAGAAACTTCCCCTCATAAACACCTCCTTTCATTCAACCAACCCACGACCAGTATCCAATGTCTTTCCAAGTCCCCCTCCTTCTCTCTCTTCCCCTTCTCTCCTTCACAATCCAAGTCAAGAACCTCGTCACCTTCGGCGACAGCTACACTGACATCACCACCATGGGCGACGGGGGAACAATGTGGCCTGTCTACGCTGCAGGGTACGCCAACCTCCAACTGTTCCCCTTCGCACGTGCCGGCGCAACATGTTCCAACAATATAACCTTCCGCCGGGCACTAGAAATTCAGCGTGGTCACCTGCGTGGTACCACGCGTGCATGGTGCATGGCCACGTGGGCCACGCAAAGTCCGTAGTTGAACTTGAGTTGAACTTGCCTTGACTGTACATATATACTGCGCAATGATAAGAATGCTTCATTAAACATATACTTGTATGTATTTCTTATTCATTGGTAAATTGTCTGCAAGAAACAGACCTTTGTTCGAAAATGTTTCAATGCTCAATTGTTGCCCATTAAAGGTTTTAAACCTTCAAATCTCGGATTTGTAGGTGCCATTGCATCTTCAATGCATGTATCTATGATTATGAGAAGGATAAATATCAAAACTTAGCTACTCTCTCATTTTTCCTGCATCAAGTCGTTAATCCAAAGATGTTATGACACTATGAACATTAATTCAACGTTGACATCACGTCAATTACTCCTTGAATGCTCTAATACTAACCAAATTGGTCATTTAATTCTCCCTAGAATTTTCGTTCCTTATGTACTAATATACCTTGACCACGCAAGTAACCACGCTGGCGTACCACGCAGCCATGCAACCACGCAGCCACGCAGGCACACCACGCAGGCTGACCACGCACCGCCACGCTGACAAACCACGCAACCACGCAGACCACGCAGGCACCTCGCAGGCACCACGCTAACCCATATAAGTTTGCCCTCAGAAAGTGTATCATTTGTATAATTGCCTCTTAATTCGCTTGTTTCTTTGGTGTTGTTCATATCAAGTGTAGAACTCCGTATTCTTCTCATCATGTCCGCTCAACTGGGAACCCCACATTGTGTACCTTATTGCTTCTAGCTTGGCAGATCACCTCTAAGGCCTTTTTATACTGTTAGGATACTCATAAAATTATTTACTTCAGCTACAATACTTTTGATGTTCTTAAACTTAGCAATCCAGTTTGAATGATATTTTCATGATATTGACCATATTTTGAAGCATTTCAATATCACACTAAAGCTGTCATATTTAAACATTCAGGAATTCACAATCCAGCTAATCCTATGCAAGTACTAACAGAAAAGAACGGAACGCGTCGACTCAAGTCGCGTTTGATGGACTTGATCAACTTTTGATCGAAGTCCCTTAATTTGTCAACCACGCAGCCACGCACCACGCAACCACGCAATCACGCAGGCGACCACGTCGAATTCTTCTTGCCCCCTTCCGCCCCTTTCCCTCCATATTCGAGAGTCAGCTCCCGTTGTATTTCGCGGAAAAGCACAACGGGTCGATTGTTTTGGACCCGGAGGAGACGCTCTATACGCAATGGATCGGGACGAATGATATCGGAGTGTATTCTTTGGTTACAGGGAGCAATAATGCGTCGATAGTTGACGTGGTAGGCTGTATGTTGGATTGGGTTCGGGTCTTGTATAAGGATGGAGCGAGGATTTTTTTGCTCCAGAATGTGGGTAACTGTAACTACCATCACGGATACCGAAAAACTGACATACCGTGTGTAGATGGTACCACTGAACGAAGCAATCTTGTATGCTCCAAACTCGTACCCGAACCATTATTTCAATGGACCGCGCAACACAACCGAATGGAGCGTGTTTATTCGCGAGCTAGTATTGAGTGGGAACGCACTGTCTCGTGCGATGCTCCGAGCGGTAGTACCAGAGGTTCCAGGCGCTCACATCGGGATTTTTGACTTGCACGGACTGTTCCAAGACATACACGATAATCCAGCAGAGTACTTGAACGGGACTGCGCCGTTCAACGTGACGGGTGCGGTGTTATCCTGCATAGCTCCGGAGGAAGGTCAGGCTGGGAGTTTACAGTGCACGACGGTGTTTGGGACAGATCGGGATAGTTATCTGTGGTGGGTGTATCCTGTTTCTATGTTTTATTTCCTGGGTTTCACGCGTATGACCGGTGTAGGTACGACGAGTTGCATCCGAGTGAGCAAGCGGATAGGATCGTGGCGAGGGAGATTGCGAAGGTTGCGAGAGGGCAAGAGAGCAAATGGGCTACGTGGATTTCATGATGTGGGAGATACGAGGTTCGATAGCTGTCTGTATGGCAATATAAAAGGAGAGAAGATTTCGGAAAGAAGGTATGGTAAATTTAAGGCAAAGGGGTAAGGGTTATCGAGGATGACCGGTCTACAGATCGTTATTTTTGTTATCTTACATATCCCGTTCCATTGTACGTACATGTGCAAGTCGGGTTGGTATCAAGGCGTGTTCCAGGGAACGGTTAATTTCACACTGTCGGGTTCGACTCCCTGCAGGATAATAGTGATCCAGGGTGGAATTGTTTTTTTCCCGAAAAAAGTAGTATATGGATGTCAACACTGTAGGTCGATATTCCCATACAAGAGAAGCAGGAAGTCTCAATCTAAATCACGATCCAATCAACACAGTGCTGCCAGGGGCTGTGCAAAGAGAAGATCTGATAGTCGATAGCTGTATGTATAACAATATAAAACGAGAGAAGATCTTAGAAAGGAAGAACGGTAATATTAAGGCAAAGGCATCTATCGCAAGCCCCACATTACACGATCTGCAATTGTATTCCGGCTGTGAGTAGGTACATAGAAGATACGTTTCTGATAGCACACCGGTTGGTCGTATATCTACCTAGGTATGTTTCATTCCCACAGTGATGAATCCAACGAATTTCGCCTCTTCCATGCTTTTGTTTGCACCTAGCTTGGAAATTTGAAGAGTAAAAATGCACATTGAAACAATCCAGTATTCTCACACTAAGAATCGAACATAGCGTTGTTGTGTAATAGCCGATGTGTTACTGAGGAGATAAGTGAACCTCAGGTCGTCTTGTTACCTCCTCCGGGGAATAAATATTCGGCAGGGATGTACCATGGCTTCTAGGATTCATCTGGTTCCTTTGTAAACGAAAGAGATAAAGTATAAGGTATAATATGACAGAACAAAAATGGATGAAGGGTTGTTTTGGAATGGCAAACCTTCGTATCGAGGGCAGATCTGGTAGTGCATTAGTATTACTTGGTGCCTATGGGCTCAATTCCCCAACCAGACGCATACTGTAAAAATAACTCCGTCATCTTTTGGGTTCGCTCCGAATGTTCAGTCCCTGTTAGTGTCCGGAATTGAATGTATGATAACCTCCGCCATTGTACATTTGTTAACGCGTAACTGTCGGGTTCGACTCCCTACAGAAACAATAGACGAGTATAACCGAGTGGTCTTTTCCTTATGATTCGGAAGGCTCGAGAATAGCGAGGATGATTTTACTGAACCGCCACTGGCTCTTTCTTTTCATCACGTTGCACATTCCGTTCCCTTGTAATTGCACGTCGGGTTGGCATACAAGCATGCGAGGCAAAACTGCGGGGTTCGATTCCCTGCGCGCGGAATGAAAGATGCGTGTAGGCGGTATTTTTTCGTGAAAAGAATATTGTATCCTTCCTTTAAGGACTCCTCACCGCTCCGTAATCCATGATAATTAGGAGCAATTGTCACCGTAGTTATACCGTTCTTATTTCAGTTGGTTTTGCGCAGCTGCTTCCATTTCGTTTAGAAAGTGAGGGCGGGAACGGTTCACAATGCAAATTTCCATGCTGACGCCCTGTTCTCGTTAAGGTGCAACTGGGGCTGCATAAAGAGAACATCTGGTTGTGTATCCGTACGGCTCTGCATGTATTGGTTCGACTCCCAGCCAGTAATTGATCGAAGAAACACAGCTGTTTTTGTTGTTTTATCTCGATGTGTACTCATCTCCCTGGTATCCTATCTTATTCTTCCGAAAATAAAATATAAAATCCATGCTGTGCGCTAGTTTATATAGAGCTGTTGAGCTCGACCCCATCAATTGTACGTGATATGTATACAAGTGCTGGAGTTGTCACACAGTCTAGGACCTTATCTAGAGGATGTTTATCTCTTATGCATTCATGTGAGGTGATATGCCTACAGGGCGTACACACTTGTAAAAGGCATGTAAAATTCAATTTTACAACATTACAAGTTGTATCTCTACCTATACTAGTAAGAAAAGACAAGAAATCGGGAAGTAACCAGCGTAGTAAACCATTGGGACTTAGCCATACAATATCTATGCCTCGGGTGACGAGCTGGTGACCCGATGACTCAGCCCGAGTAACCGAAGGTCCAGGCGGGTCGATGCACATGGTACCAGCCGACCTGGCATCCCGGCACTGATGGCCGCCTGATGGCATCGGTCCGAAAGTAAGAATAACAAAACAAAGAACGATCGCGTACGGCTTTACTTACCTGGCAGCTTCCCTAGTCTCTCAGGTGGACGGTTGGCTCACCGGGTAGATGAGAAACAAGAACCGTAACACCAGGGGCTCTGCCCCGGTACAGGTAAAACTTAGTATCATGAGCCAGGACACCAGGTTGTGGCACAAGATCATGATCGGGTTCACCTGGGAGCCGGGATATGAGCTCATATCCACCCGGCTCCATCAGCAAGTGCAGTAATAGTACCTGGAAAGATTGGAAATATAGATAGGGTAGAATAGTATAAATACTGTCCATGTAACTAGCGGGAAGGCAGGTTTCTGGCCCCCGGAACGCTACCAAGCAAATTAGTATGGGCTTTGGTTAAGAGCTTCGAGTCCTAGACTCACCTGGAATAGTATTTAGTGACCTGGTCACATTTTGTGTGCAAGAACCATTCAGAAAGTCAGAAGTACAGTCCAGAATCCGTGTTAGTACCAGTAAAACTGCAACCAGGCAGACAGTATCAGTTCAGACACCGCACCAGGCAGTTAGTACGCATTCAGGAAACTGCACCAGGCAGCCCGTTGGTATCAGATTGTGTTCGGTAACACAGAAAGTTCAGATTTGTGTCGCTTCAGAATATTGCAATCAAACAAATTATATTCATTGTCAACCCGGAACTAGTATCCACAGTACAAGTATCAACCCGGTGTAACTTACCCCTTTGAACCGCAATTATTGAGTGTGTTAGGGTGTGTGTGTGTAGCACTTCGCATTCCTTAGCATAGTTTAGTACCTTTCAGAGGCAGTGGTGCATTGGCTAAGACAAAACAGCACTGCTCGACTCCCTGCAGGAAAATGACACTGTGGTCTCGCTATTGTTTTCACACCGACGTCTGAGGAGAGCGATGTCTCTTACTCGAGAGGTAACAGGTATTAATTTTTGCTACTAGCAGATGAACATGCAGAGGAGTAAGGATAATCTTATATATTTCGGAGGATTTCACTCTGGCAACAAGTAGAGATGGATCGCAAGGCAAAAACCAAAGTTCTGGTAGTGTATCGGTAACTATGCAATACGAACAATGGGTTCGATTCCCAGGTGAGCTTGTACGAGGATCGTGTATCATTTTATTGAATCTGTGGATGAGAACAAGAAATGTCACTTAGTATCCATGTCTTCGACAAGTAGGTGTGACAAATGCAAGAACAAGATTGATGGTACATGTCATGATGTAGGATGACGTGAGGCATAAGGGATGATGGAACAATGCACCGAGAGACTCCTCTATCCGGTGACGATGGCACGGATGCCTAATGGTCTTCATCAGTCCCACGTGCAAGCTCAGGGTTCGATCCCCAGCTAATACTTCTTGAGGTCCTCGATGTTTTGTCGAGAAGGATTAAGCTCATTTTGTTTCTCTGTCAGTGACAAGTGCTGTGGTGAAATGACGGTAACAATTTTCAGTCAAATACACGGAATGATTGCAAAGAAAGCCTGTCCTTGAATCGTTACCATGATATTTGAAGACCGGTGAAATGTCAAAGTAATGCGAACAAGAACGCTGTGCACCTTGGAAAAGGGAAAATTGGTGAAAATGCTATCCAAATAAGTAAGAGAGTGTACAAAACGAGAGAGATAAGCTACGAACGAAAAGAGAGTTGACGAGGTGACGAAAGAGGAAGGATACTTAACCGGCCCGTGTGCCGATGACCAATCCGCTGTTCTCTTCGCGACCACGACCGCCCGCACGCAGCACACTTCGTTTCCCCTACATGCCATAAATCATCGGTGAGACGACTCCATGGCTAGCCCCCAAAGCCTATTAGATGCGTTTTCCGGTGCACGCCATTACTATGGCTCGCGATAGCGACTGACGACTTGACGTGTATGCGTGAGGCTTTGAGGATCTGGGTTACGATGTGTGAGAGCAGGTTTATTGTGCGTTCATGTTCTCTCCATGTCCTTGCTCCCGCTGATGAATTGCAGGTCAGGCGAATCGGATATCCCTCAACTACTGCAAATACGTGTCCCAGTAACCGGAGTTTATGGATGTCGCTTTGGGCAAAAGAGTACATTCTGCTCTTCTCGTAATGGTCAACTCTCGAATTGAAGAATACTAGGCGAAGGTGCGCTCGTGTGTACATACATGACGCGCCTGGCCTGTCTCAAGGTCGACTCACTAAGTTCCCATCTGGGAATATCATCTCCACTGAGCCCAGGCTTGAATCACACCATTACATTCGCCCAATCCCTCGACGACCGACTCTCCACTCTTGCGCTCCTGATCCTGATTCACCATCCGGTCAAGGGAGGCATGCACGCATGCTGTACTCCATCTGCATTGTCTCCCTCTCGTGTCCACCTTCCGTGCCTCCGACGAGGAAAATGGTTCTTAACCCGACGGCGACCTGCCGTTGGTAGTAGCATATTGTTAAACGATTTATAGTCATTTATCGCCGTCTTTTGGAGGAGCAAGGCGTTTTATCGGGGTACGCCCACGTGTATTTATGTTGGTGTCCTGAGGACTGAATTGGCCTTTCTTAGATCGTGTCAGATCAACGATACACGGAATCTGGCGCTAAATCTCCACGCAAAGTGCTTCCGTGACCACAGATGGGTCGACCCACTACGCATTTTTCCTAATGCAGGATACTACATCAACCTCCTGGGCGTTTCACGGCACTTGGAACGTGATCGTAGTTACGCATGCGAACGATCTCGTACGATCGTCTGGATCACTTCTCGTTGGACTATCTCATTACATCCTTCGAAGTATGGCAAAATGATCCCCGATGACCGGCTGCATAAGGCAGGCTTGGTGAATCTCTATTGCGCGTGTTGGTGGGTTTCAAATCTTAGTTTGTTCAGAGGCACATCTACCAGCAGGAAGGCATAGTACATCCAGATCGTGTGATACATGAGATATCTGCTGTATCCAGTACGTCTCCTCTTTTCCTTCTCCTAAATTATTTTAAAATTGACTAACCAGATCCCTCGCAAATCAAGAAAGACGGTGAAGGAGCATGCGTTTCTGCGCATGATGAAGCAGATATTCGCAGCATAGCATAGTATTTTTGCCTACATTTGATAGCTTTTCCATACGAAATAGGACTTCTCCCTTATAATTTCTCGACGGAGGTTTACAAATTCGGTTCCGCTTTCTTCCGAGGACGCTCTCTCTAGAAAACGTTGTCAGAATCTCCTATGCAAGCCGGTCTGGAATCAAAGTCGCGTCTCTTTGCGCCAATAAAAGGTTGGTAGCACATCTGTCTCACGACTGTGACATGGGTTCGATTCCCATCAAGAGATACAGGTGTTCTTTCATCTTTTTTTTTCTTTGGAGGCCATGCTCCATTCGCTCTGAGGGCTTAGAAGACAGCCAAACCTGTCGATTCTATGACAGAATGTGTCTAGTCTATGGAAAGACGGTGAAAGAGCTTCTTCCGTATGATGGAGTAGATTGACTAGCGCGTCCAAGATTATCGGGTTTAACTCTCTTCAGGACAATGGAAGGAGTATCCGGATTGAGTAAGTTCCGGAGTGCGCGCGTACACATTCTAACATAGATTCAGAGTAGGCCGTCGATACGATGACTATCGCACTCGCCAGTAAGCAATTGAATAATGAATGAGAAACAGTGCAATATGTATGCGGGTCGGTTAATACATGGTCTTGTGGTAACTATCGGGTTCGATTCCCCATAGGATAATGTGCCGAGGGCAAGTCTTTTTTTTTGTATTCGACATTCTGATGAGTGGTTCCCGGTGAAAGAGGTAATCCATGCAAAGATTCATGCATAATTCTCATAGAGGTATTATATGCGCAATGGTGGCTTATTTCGTGCAAAATGGGTCCCAGTCTGAGATCCGGCCGTGCTTTCTTTCGGAATGACGAGTTCAAGGAACAAACTGTTATATTATCGAGTACTTAATGGATGTCGTTGTGAGTACATCTATGATCATAGGCAGGAAACACATGGTGCCGGATGAGTGCTGAGAGGATCGAAGGAGAGGAAATAGGTCCCGATCAGGTAGCTTATCAGGAAACTTGAACACAAGCTGGGTTCGATTCCTGGCCGGAGCTTTAGCTGTTATGCGGGGTTTTTTTTGCGTCACTAAGTTATTTTCTATCCTATTTCTCTGAAGTCGGTACTTGTAAAGCATGGGAAGAATAACATACCTCAAAAGATAGGCGAATGGTACAGGAAATAATATATTGACCGCCGACCAATGGCGAAGTGATCTACCTGAACTGCTTAGTCAAGACTCGAACTCGGTCAGTCTTCTTCTCGCTTAGCAATACGAGAGAGAGGTATCGAGTAGACTGGGAAGAAGTCGAGGCCAGGGGCACGCCATATCCATGGGAATAATCTTCTCTTCCCTTGCAGCTCGTGTCGATGACTTGAACTTCTAAGTCACCTTAAACCACTTGGAAGCTCTTTTGTAGTGTATTGATGAGGACACGGGCCAGTCATTCGGCCTTCCTTCCCTTGACATACAAAAGCTGGGTTCGACTCCCATCAAGAGAGGTAGAAGCGCAGGAAAAGTGTTCCATTTTATCTTTGGTGCAAGTTTAGATATTATATTTTTGCCGTGCGCCTTTTCAGATAGAGTTGTTAATCTCGACCCCCTACGGTGATCGATCCGAATTGATATGTTTATAAGTGACGGAGTTCTCACAAGATCTGGCTAAAGTTTGTTAATCTCTTTCCTATTCCCTCCCCACCTAATTTTGTGAATTTGATCGGCATACAAGCATGTGAGGCGATGACACATTAGCGAAGACCAGACTACGAGGTTCGACGCCTCACGGGATGATTATTGATACAGGGCAGCATCATTTTTCACAAAAATAAGTCTAATGTACCAGTTTTCGAGGAATGTCATGACATTTACTACCTAAAAGTTAGCAAGTCTTGGCGGAAACCAATGAACACATAGAGTAGCGAAGATATTATTGCACGAGTCTCAAGCTTTCGTCCCACCAAGTAGAAATTACTCTCACTACCAGAACAGGGCTCTGGTAGCGTATCGGTAAGCATGCCATACGCATGATGGGTTTGATTCCCATCTGGGCTTGTCGTGAGGACTACTGATGTATTTTTAATGCATTGAAACAAAAATCATTTAGTATCCATGTCGTCTACAATAATTATGCAAATGAATGTTTGACAGAAGCGAGGTTTTTAAAAAAGTGAGAAAAGTGAGCTGAAGATGAAAACGGACGACATGATATAGGGTGGCGAAAGAGGAAGGATAAACGGCCCGGGTGCCGATGACCAATCCGTTTGAGGCGCCGCCCGCCCTTTGCTTCGCGACCACCACCGTCCACAACATGTCGTTTCCTCTACGCAATATCGTCATCGATGAGACCCCTCCGCAGCTATTCTATGACAGCCCTGAAAGCATACTGGACGCGTTTTCCGGTGCACACCATTACTACGGCTCGCGATAGCGATTGACGACTTGACGCGTGCGTGTGAAACCTTGAGAAGCTGGATTAGCATATGTGAGACAGGTTTATTGTGCGTTCATGTTCTCTCCATGTTCTTGCTCCCACTGATGAATTGCAGGTCAGGCGAACCGGATATCCCTCAACGACTCTACTTACGTGTCCCAGACATCAGAGTGTCTACACTTCTATGTCAGGATGGATCTTTCGAGTTCAGAGACCTCACTCTGGGGCCTGGGCCGAAGATGGCGTTTTTCTCTTCTTGTGGTGTCAGTCTTTGGAACTCGGAAGTACGATACAAGGTGCGTTCGTGCGTGTATGTACGCATTCATATATGCGCCTGACCTGTCTCAGGTTCGACTCACCGAATTCCCGTCTGGGAATATCATCTCCACCAACCCCAGGCCTGAATAACATCGCTACGTTCGCCCAATCCCTCGATCGACTCTCCGCTCTTGCGCTCCTGGTCCACTGTCCTGTTAAAGAAGATGCATTTCTTCCCTCGCATGTGATGAGGAGAATGAACGTTAATACCAGGGCGGTTGGAGTTAGGGTATTTGAATTATCGTCATCTTTTGGAGGAGTGAGGTGCGTTTTTCGGAGGTATGTCCACGCGTATTGCGTGTAGGTGTTGTGGGTAACTGACGTATCATTTCCTAGATAATGTCAGCGTCAATATACACGTATTCAGATGTCACATCTCAGCGGAAAGCGCCTCCCTGACCGCAGACGTGTTACATATGTCATCCTGCTGTTCACACTCCCTAATAACGAATACTACGTCGACCTCCGCAGGCCTTGGAGCTCTGTCACGCATTAATATGCTTCCCGAATCCTAGACTTGGCATATCGCATCGTTCTCACTTCTGTAGTTGGTTACCTTCCTCCAAGTACGGCGAGAAGGATGATCCTAGAGACGACGAGTGGAAAGAGGCCGGTTTGGTGAGTCCCTATTGCGTGCGTGAATGGATTGTGAATCTAATTCGGTTCATAAGGCTGCTGAGAGGGATACAACATAGGCCCAGATCGTGCGATAGTCTTTGGACAAATCTGCCGTATTCATTATGTTTCCGCTTTTCCTTCTAATGATTGACTAACCAGATCCTCCAACACAAACAAGATCGTCAAGAGCTCGTCTTCTTGCGCATAATGGAGCAGACGTTCTCAGCGTAGCATTTTAGACCTCCATTTGATAGCTTCTTCGTATGAAACTGGATATGTTTCTTTCCTGTGGCATCGTGTGATTTCTCGACGGAGGTTTTACGAATTCGGATCTGCTGTCTTCCCAGGATGCTCTCTCCCGAAAACGTAGTCAAGGTTGCATACTCTTTGCGCTCATCAAGGGCCAATAGCTGATCTGTCTTATCAGCGTGGTATGGGTTCAATTCCGGCCAAGAAATACGGGCCTCGTTTTCCGTTCTTTCTTAGACCTGTGACCGGTCCCTACATGAGCAAGCGTCGATGGTAGGGACCTGTACGGCTGAGTTTGAATTCCCTTTGATAAATTTAGGGAATTGCCGGATCCCAAAAAGGTCAGAGAAGGGGCTTCCATATTTAGGTTTTACTGGTGATCGTAGTGATCTCGACGCGTTTCGACGCGTTTTCGTGTATTTTCCCTGTCCGTCATGTCTGCCAGCCATAGAAATCGATCCAAGTCCTTCTCTGGTGTATTTTACACCCCTCTTTCATTGGACATGTCCTCTCAACTTCAAACTCCAAGCGAAGGACAGCACTCTCAATGACCGAGAGAACATGAAGTGGCGACGTCGCTGTTAATACCTGCCAAGGAATGGAGGGGAGTATTTTTATCTCATTCAAGCGACCCGAGGATGGTCGGAATGCGGGAACGTTGTACTGTGGAGTACCAGTGAAATAAATGAAGTGAGCCTCGTCTACGAAAACACGCCTGATTGTTTTCCGAAACGCCAGCGTCCGGATGAGATGACCAAATCGTGTGAGATATCCTTCCTTGGATTTGAACATTTGTTCCGTAGTTACAATGAAGTGCTTGACAGTTCCCAGCGTCTTGGTTTTGCCATTAAATATCATATTCTGTCGAACATCGTAAATTTGAGTATATAAACGTAACAGAAGGTCACCGTACATCCCAGAATGACTGATTCCGTGACGTATCATCATTTATTGCAATAGTATTGATCTTGTACTTCATAACAAAGTCTCTCGCCTACGTAGTCCGCAATATGAGCTCCAATTACGGTTGCCAAGCAGCTAATGTTACGTACCTGGGTCAATTGAAGGCGCTTCAGAGGGGATATCGTGATGCTGACACCATTCGAAGGGTGGTCCGACAAGATAAGAAGAGCGATGATAAGGGTTTTTCCCGACCCTGTCCCTGCAATAACCGCCGAGTCCCTTCTTTCATACGAGGCTAATGCTGCTCGAAGCTGCATCTCTCTAGGTGCCTCCCTTCCACAGGTCACAAGGTAAGCCAAGAGAAAGAGACGGTAGCAGATGATCTGTTGGTCTCGTGAAAGCGTAGAGATGTACGTTGATGGAACGCGATCCGCATCAACAAAATGGGTGATGTACTGAGAGAGATCATCAAAGCCAGCATTCCTGATGTCGTCGAGAGATTCAAAGATAGTTTTAGAACCAGATATTGTTCCCATTTGGTGATTTATGGTAACAGTGCATTCAACAAAGAGACGAGATGGTGGTAAACAAAGAAAACGCGTCAAAACGCGTCGAGATCACTACGATCACCAGTAAAACCTAAATATGGAAGCCCCTTCTCTGACCTTTTTGGGATCCGGCAATTCCCTAAATTTATCAAAGGGAATTCAAACTCAGCCGTACAGGTCCCTACCATCGACGCTTGCTCATGTAGGGACCGGTCACAGGTCTAGTTCTTTCTTTGTTCTTTCATGTCCTGCTCCATTCATGCTTAGAAGGCAACCAAACCCGTCGATTTTATGACGTAATGTGTCTCGTCTACTAAGGCTTCCACGATTGTCAGGTTCAACTCTCTTTAGTTGCATTGGAAGGAATATCCGGATTGCGTAAGGTCCGGAGCGAAGCGAGGTTCATCTTCTTCAACATGCAAACACAGATTCCGAGTAGGCCATCGATCCGATTTCTATCGTCCTCAGCAGTGAGTAATTGGATTATGAGTAGAAAAATGCGGTATGTACGTGGATCGGTGAAGATGCGGTCTTGTGGTAACTGTCAGGTTCGATTCCCCACAGGATAATATTGTGTCTAGAACAATATGTTTGGTCCTTTTTCGTATTCGGCATTTTGGTTATTAGTTCCTAGCGAAAGAAGTAGTCCACATGAACAATTTTTGTCAAAGTATGATCTACACCGCGACATCTTATTGCACGCGATATCAGTTCCATTCTGCGTTCTAGGCCAGCTTTCCTTTGGTACGACAAGCTCAAAGGAATGAAACTGCGATAGTATTGAGTAACTGATTCGAGGAGGATGCAAACGCCTCTATGGGCATAGGTTGGGGAGGCACGGTTCCAGATGAGCGTTGAAAGGAGCAAAGGAGCGGGACGAAGTGCTGATCTGATAGCTTATCTACTAGCTTAAACACAGGCCGGGTTCGATCCCTCGCCGGAGCTTTATACGTCAAGCGTGAGCGTTTTTATGTCACTGAGTTGTCTTCTATCCTGTTTGTCTGAAGTCATGTAGTGGTCATGGGTGTGAAGCACGGGAAGAGGAACAAGCTAGGCAAATGGTACAGAAAGTCTTATACTGACTGCCGATCAATGCCGAAAAAATATGCCTGAAATCCGATCCGTCTTCTTCTTGCTTGGCAGTGAGAGAGAGGTATCAAGTAGACTGGGAGAAAACTGAGGCTCCAGACACGCGGTATCCATAGGAATAATCTTCTCTCGTCGGAGAGTCACATTGCATCCATGCCTGCCCGGAATCTCAGGCTGTTATGGGCCCCTATCGACATCTCAATTCTCCACTTAGGCCCGTAGACAAATCTTTGGTAGTCTATCGGTTACTACACCCACCTGTCATATCAGGGTATTCCAATTTTCCAGGGGTAGGTGCGAAAGCTGGGTTTGACTCCCACCCAGAGAGATTAATGCTGCAAAGTCTCGCATCTTTTCACTTTATTTTGGTGAGAATGCCTGCCTTAGATTTTGATGTTGAGATAAGCGGTAATTCTCCAGCCGCTCACCCGGATATAGCAGGGAACCCTCACAAACAGGCGAGGGTCATCATCATTTGTCTGTCTATTTATCTACAACTGTACACCTAATAGAAGTAGTAATACTACATAGTAAACAAGGTCACAGAGAAGAACGGTTTCCTTGCCTGACAACTGAAGTCCTCGACGTCAACTGCGCTGCGATGCGCGACACTTGATACTCCAACAATTGATGCACCTTGCTCTTTGTTAGCTGTACATCTATTGCTCATGAATGCTACGGAAGTAGGACAGAATCCCAATAAGTGGTATTCTCGATTGAACACTAGACGGAACCGGGCCGCACGCCGATGTCCAATATACTTTTTACCTCTCTCTCCACAACAACCACCGACACTCACTATTCGACATAAGGATCTTCGCACCACTGTGGGAGACTATTACCTGGCTGTTTATCTATTCCAATGGACTTTGTTGCCTCAAGGTTTCCCACCATGATGCGTGATCGCTGATGGATTGAGGTGCTACATCAGGTTTCTTGTGCATTCTTGCCTCGTGCACTTGCCTTTCTTTCTTTTGACAGCTTATAGGACCAAACATGGCCTTGATATTCCTCGACAATGTCCATTATGGGTTATGCCGAGCCTTCAAAACCCTGTCATCACATTCAGCTAGCCTCTCTGTTAGCAGAGCAAGCCAACACCCATCGGCACACGTGCCTTTGACCGGTCACCAGACCTTACCCACACCACCATGAAATATTAAGTATATACTCGAAGTTTCTATCTTACTAACTTAGCTACAATTTTAGGACACTCTTAGAACATACTAGAATACTTGTAAAGGTATAAAAGCCTCGCATTTGTACTGCTATATACTTAGATTATCCAATTACTCTCTCACTCATTACTACTGCTGCTCACACTCTCGATGCTTCACTCCAAATCTTCGCACGCCCAGTCTGCCATCATATCGGGGAGTACACGGCCACTATGCACGCCATTGGAATTCCCTGAGCATATGACAAGGAGGATGAATCCCGAGAGATTGGGCGACTGTATAACAGACTTTGTTGTTTGGAATGAGATGACTTATCGTCTTTGGGGCAGATATGTGGTCGTTTGTTCAAAGTAAGTCTACGTGTATTACAGGTGTGGGTTGTGGAACTTATTCAGCCATTTTGGCTCACAAGGAGCATGACTGTCTGTCCGAGCGGAACACTGTAGCTGGAGACGGATACCCCCCTCGCTCGCATACACTTCAATGCAGTCCAAGAACTCTTCGTTGCTTCCGCATCAAACAATCCATGTTTGACCTTACCTCAGCGAAAAGAGACAGCGATCCGACGATATGTGACACGAACCTCACCAGTGACATGCACCAAACTACATCAGGTCTTGAAAATATATCGCTGCCCTTTTACCAGTCTCTGGTAGCGTATCGGCTAGCGCGCGGTTGTCAGCGATTGAATCTGGGTTCGATTCCTAGCCAGAGAGTGTTCCCAGTGTCAGGTACTATTTTTTACGCATCCCAAACGAATGCAGCTCAAATGACGACGGAGTATTCAGCCCACATACCGGTTATGATTGACGTTCTCAACCACGACCATCCGCGCTCATAATTCTTATACATGTTGGAACCTACGCGTCATTAAGAGAGATGTATATGCAGATATTCATCCAACGCTCCCATGGTCCTTCTTTCTTTGGAGCATGCGAGAATTCATTTTTTTTTGACTCTCCACTGTAGCTCGTCAAGCAACACTCGCACGCTAACTTTAGCGCCAGCCTGACCGGGGACCCACGTTGGTGGTTGTCCACTGATAAACACCAGATCGACCTCCAGCGTTACTTTCTCCATCACCGATACTCCGCTTCCGGCTTTATCATGCACATAGACAGTACATGTGAATCGCATAAAAGGAAGTACACATCATGTCACCACGAGGAACCTGTTTAAGGAAATATCACCAGTCACTCGACACCAAGTTGAGTAATGTACTATGGTATGGGTTCGACTCCCACTCACATATAAGCGGAAATTTTTCTAATTTTCTTTTTCTTTTTGATACAAAGGACGGATAATTGGTTCACCCTGAGTTTAAGATACGAATGTAACTTCACTGCTGTATGGTCCGCTCCCTTCAGGATAATGAAAATGAAGAAACTACGCGATTTCCTCAATGCTAATCTGCAAGGCGAAGCAGCAAACTCTTGTAGAAGCACAAATCACCGATTGTTTATCGGTTAACTTGGTTAAGATGGGTTCGATTCCCAGACGGTGCTTTGCATACCATCAAGGTTTCGTTTTTACCTAGGAAAAGACGGTTCGGTGAGTTGTTTTTTAATCCTGGTTTACTGGCCCACGGTGAAAGCCGCGCAGAAAAATGAACGGGCCTCTGAAGCTAGGCAAATGGTGCAAGGTATCGTATACCAGACAAACCTTAGAGAAAACTTTGCTTGGATTCTTCTCACCGAGAGAGGAATAGAGTAGACTGGGAACGAAGTGAGACTCTGCGCGTTCTGTATCCGTAGGAATCATCTTAAGTATTTTCTATTGAATACATAACTCCCAGGTAAGTATGGAATTCTATTTCGCTTCTGCCATTAACCTATGGTACACATTTAGGAAGTCTCTGATAGTGTATTAGTTAGTACGCGTGTGTATCATCCATCTTTCATCTCTCTGGAGTCTGACGTGCGAAAACTAGGTTCGACTCCCAGCCAGAGGGTATGCATACCAACAACATTCTTTTTTTTCATTTTTATCTTGCGTGCAAGTTCAAATTTAACGTGGCATAGATTTATGCACATGATTTTATGTTCGTTATTGATTATGAGTCCTGGGCATAGGATGAACTCTGGACAAGTAGTAAGGACGAAAGCAAGACGGAACCGGCCCGTATTGGGATCACCAATATACATTTTGCCTCTCTCTGCACAACCACCAACACCAAAACCACGGCTGTTCCACACGAGAATCTCCGGGTCATTTTGGAAGACGGATATATATAATGTTCCAAGGACTTGTACCGTCTCAAGGATTCCGTACTATTGTAATGGATGTCGATGATGGATTGAGGCGTTGCATGGGATTTCTGGCCCTGCGTTCCGGCCTTGCTCGCTGGATAGATATCCTTTCTTTTTGACAACTCATAGGTCAAAAATGGCTTGATTACGCCTGAAGAATGTCCACTAGCTTGTCCAACCCGTGGGTGCATTGATAACTGCAAGGACCCGGACTGCTACTGCCTCGAGGCATTCATACTCAGCTTCGCAGACCGCCCTTTGGTGAAAAAGAGATAGAATATCGACACCATTGGCGTTCTGGTTGTAAACCTCAAAGCGCAAATTGGGAATTATCATGCAGGCCAAGGCGTGTTCAAGTTTATTTGTGTTCGGGTCCTCTTATCCTCCTTAATTGTCAAAAGGTCAATATGCTACTGGACATACTCAAGTACTCACCGAATACCACCACGTCGAGTCGTCGATCTCCGCTGAGACTTCAAAGCGCCTTCAAATCCATATTGTCGCGTTCAGCTAATCCTTCGACGCTCTACCTTCCACTTTGGGCGCCCAGTGCACTGTCGTATGAAGTAAACCATGGTCGCTATACACGCTGTTGGAGTTCCCCAGGCATGTGAGGAGGATGAATGAGTAATTTTGCATCATTTGGGGCCATATGCGGCAATTCGAGGTAAGTTTATGCATATCAGATCTTTGGATTATAGAATTTATTCAGCCAACCCATATCACAAAAAGTACGACTGTCTGTCCGAGCGGTGGCACTGTAACTGGAGACGGATACCCTCCTTGCTTGCCTGTACACTTCAATACAGTCCAAGTATTCTTCATTACTTCTGCATCGAAGAATTCATGTTTGATTTCACCTCAGTGATCTGACGATGCGTGACACGAACCTCACCAGCGACATGCACCAAACTACATCAGATCTTGAACATATACCGATGCCCTTTTACCGGCGTCTGGTAGCACATCGGTTAATGCGTGCTTGTCAGCATTGAATCTGGGTTCGATTCCTAGCCCTCTGGTATTATTTTGCATGGGTTCTCAAGGCCTGCTGCAATTAGTTCGGACAGCGTGCCATTTCTCGAAATTCAGATGTGGCAATGTACACTGTTGAAGTACCTGCATATCACGATAAATTCTGTCCTTCGAGTGCTGTACGCTATGTTTCTATCGTCACATGGTTGTATATCCTCCCTGAAGATATGACAAAGCCGATGCAGTCTCTTTGTGATGCATGTGGATGTGGACGGTGGATCTGGTCTGGACGCAGAACACTTATTCCTTAAGGTGAGGACGGGACTCGGGGAGCACGGCAAAAGAAGCGACGACGGAGTATTCGGCCCGCACGCACGTTACCTTTCACGTCTTCACAACCACGACCATCCGCGCTCATACTTCCCATCCGTGTTGGAACCCACGCATCATTCAAGAAGATGGATATGCAGCCGTTCATTTGTGGCTCCTGGGGCCCCTTTCATGTGTTTTCCGTCCATCGCGCGCGTGCGCTTTCATGTTTCGACACCCTTTCGCGGCTTACCCACATGCTAACTTTAGCTTCGGCCTGACCGGAGATGCTATGCCTATGCTTATCCACCAAGGAACGCTACGTCTGCCTCCAGCATTACTTCTCTCCGCCCTTCGATGCTCTGCGTCCTCCTTTGGTGTGAAAAGAGGTAGTTTGCATCAGTTGTCGCTTGCCATGGGGATTCCTCTATTTCAAAGGGCCGTAAGGAAGATAACTAGTTATGCGCTCCCTATGAAAGCGAGGAATCTAGTATGCAGACGTTCACACACGGCTCGAAGAAGACTGGCCATCAGGAACCTGCTCCTGAGTCCTCTCAGGGACGCCGACTCTCAACTCAGGGAGTAACACATCTTAGTAAAGGTGCGTTTATACTCATTTTCGTTCTTTCTTGTACACGCCTAATCTGTCAACAGGGCAACCCGTTCGTGGAAATTCTTGCCCGAGAACACCGCTGAGCTCCACCAATGACAATCACATCATTGCTGCATACCGCTTCGTCCAATATCTTGCGCACCTCATCTGGTTTCAATGCATGCAGTACTTTCCAGGTGTGCGACAAGGAGGTAGAACTCCGCGATGGATCATGGCGTGGCATTTTGGTGACCCGGATGAGACGAATTATCGTCGTCTGTCAGAGGAGTTTGGCCATGTAATGTGAACGGTTACTCCTAGGTCAATTTTGTTACGTCCAGTCCGTCTCTCTGCAACACCAACCTTCATCTATTCATAGAGTTATATCACGCTTGTACTCCGGGATTACACCGTGTCCATCTCGACGAAACAGGTTATGTCTACCCGATTTCCACGAACGACTACCACATTGACCGCGGAATAACCCTACACTCGCTTTGAATCTCCCGATGCGATACTTTCCTCTATGCGTTCCATACGCAAGTTTTCTTCATGTATGATGACGAGGATGCACCTAGAGACGGTGACCGGATCTACAACTAATGTCGATGCCGTTGGAACCGTATCTCTAGGACCGATAGAGAGAATGTGGAATCGCTGGTGATAGTCGCGGGTCTAGCTGCGAATGTACAGAAATGGTGCACGTGATCTCGGGGGAACCGTACCAACGCTCCCACCGTGGCCCGTGCGAGCCCATCAAGAACTTCGGCATTGTTGTTGTACACCATGCGCGCGTGGATGGGTGGACCTAACCCAGAACAGGTTCTTCTATGTGTGATGGTACAGTTTACTGAAGAAAGAATTCATATCTGGTGCCTTTCCTCTTTTCCTTTCGTACGGTGCTGATCTCGGACGACAGACGAGACGTTGAGATCTCGCTAATTTCCTGCCTAGTGAATGAACTTTCGACGTCGTTTTGGATTTAATACATATTGTCGGTCTTTCCGGCATGTGTTTCTCTGCAAATTATGGCCTTATCCTCAACTCGGAGCACACGGCCGGGGAGTGTTATCCTTAGGGAAATCTCATGAGTTACTCAACACCAGGTTGTCAAGCTTGTTGAGGTCCTATGGTGCGGGTTCGACCCCCACAAGGATATGGCTGTTGAATGTTCTGAATCACCTTGATTATTTTTCAATGCCATACATAGGTGGATATTTCGTTCACCTTGAGTGTACGATATGGTTGCAATATCGCCATTGTACAGTTCCGCTGTAAGGAGGGCGAAGAAACTGCGCGATTTCATCAAGTCTAATGAACAAACTCGTTTCTGATGAAGGAAAAGTACAGATCTCTGGCTGCTTATCGGTTAACTTGGGTGAGCTCAATATGGGTTCGATTCCCAGCTGAGCCTTAGATAGACGGAGGTGTATAATCCTGTATGATAAGGGAGCAAAGATACCCGAAAGGGAGAAGAAAGAACGTACTGTAACTATCAGGATGTTATGCACCGAGCGGCAGGAACGTGTGCGCGAGCTAGGGTCCGCAATTCTGGGATTTGAATACAATTCTCAGTTGAAAGACAAGGAAG